ATTATATCATATTTATATAAAAATTATATTGTAAAATATCATTTTGAAATAAAAAAAAAAATTATTTTGATAGCATTGTGATATAATTTTTAAAAAAAGAAATTTGAAATTTTTGATATAAAATTATATAAAATCATATTATAAAATATCATTGTGATATGATTTTTGATAAAAAGAATTGAAATTTTCAATATAAAATTATATAAAAATGATATTATAAAATATTATTTTGATATTATTGTGACATGAAAAATATCACTTCACTTTTGTGTACCATGATAATCAGTTTTTTAATAATTTTTTTTTGAAAAAAAGTCATCGCAATTGGACTTCTCAATGCAAAGTTATTAATCAAAATTTGTTTTATCAGTAGTTAAAATTTTCATGTTACATGGAGAGATTTCACTAAACTGTAATCTGATTTTAGCAATCTATAACTCATTATATCACTCTCATTGAGATAAACATTTTGGTATGTTTCATCCAAATATGACCTCTCTACACAAAGTTATTAATCAAAACATTTGTTTTAACAATAGGTAAAATTCTATTATAATTTTTCATGTTATATGGAGTGATTTCATTAACCTGTGATTTAATTTTAGCATTTATAGCTCATTAGATTCCTCTCATTAGTTGTTTCATCCAAGTTAGACCTCTCTATGCAAAGTTATTTTTTTTTTTCAGTAGATAAAGTATCAAAAAAAATAATTTAAAAAAAATCTTATTTTGAGGTTTTACAATTATTTTGTCCCCGCCAAAATATTGATTTTGACTAGGTCAGATTTTTATTTTAATTTTTGGGCATGTATAGTCTTGAAGCCTTAATTTGTATATATTTATATTAATAAAATAAATATGAACTTGTACATCAGTAAATTTTAATAGATGATCAACAAAGAATTTTTGAGAATTTTTGCATTTTTTTTACATTTTTTCAACTTTGCTTGTGATTTTCGAAGCGTAGAGTGATTTTCTATTAAGCTATTTCTAAGATAAAAAGAAAGGCCATATTCTTGGATACAAATGATATGTGGTTTATCCCGGTAGCATTGATATTCGTGGAGATATTCGCGTTTAAAGTCGAACGTCCGTGAAGAATTTCTGTCATAAATTTTCCATAATTACGAAAATTTGTGGCTGAAATTTTAACGGACGTTCGAATTTAAACGCGAAAATTTCCGCGAATATCGACACCATCAGGATGAAGCACATGTTATTTTGTAGCAAAGGACAAGGACTTTCTTTCCATATTAGAAATAACCTAGTAAAAAATCGCTCTATGCTTTGTAAATTATGAGTGAAGTAGAAAAATGTAAAAAAAGTGAAAATCTCCACAATTTTTTTTTGACTTCGCTCACAATTTACGAAGTGTAGAGAGATCTTCTACTAAAGTATTTCTAAGACAGAAAGGCCTTGATTTTTGCTACAAATAATATGTGTTTAATCCAAGTAGCATTGATATTTGAGTTTAAAGTCAAACATCCGTGAAAATTTATGACAGAAAATTTTCTCAGACGATCGGCTTTAAATGTGATTATCTTTGCAAATACCGATACTACTGGGATGAAACACATCATTTTTTAGTCAATATTCTCAAATCACAAGTGAAATTGAAAATATAAAAAAAAAAATATACTCACTTTTTCTCTTTCTCATTAAGTGATCTATTCTTGAAATAAGATTACTTGTTTGGTTCCTTGAAATTTACTTGAATTTTTATTTATTTATTCTTTTTAAAAAATAAAAACTTACATTTCTTTTTACTTATCCTTTCTTCTTTAATTGATATATTTACGTTCTTTCTTTTGAAATCATGCTTTTTCGTGGGATTATACTTGTAAGTCAGTTTTTTCTTGTTCTTTTTTAAAAAAAAGTAAAAAAACAATATACAGTACTTACCTTTTCATGTTCCCTTTTCTTGTTTTCTTGTAATTATAGATTCAGAACAAATATACATAAGTATTTTTTTTAAAAACAAAATACTTATCTTTGCTCTTTTTTTCTTATGTACATACTTTATTTTTGAAACTGGATTCATAGATTTGAGTTATCTTCTTTCTCTAGAATTATATTTGTGAATTTGTAAGATTTATAGTTCATGAAGTTTGTATTGGAAATATTTTTTTAAAAAATAGTATATTTATTTTTTCTGTCTTGAACTTAAGTTATATATATATAAGAAAATAAAATAATAATAATAAATAAATATGGATAAATAAAAATAATTTACTTTTGTTATATGATTTTTATATTGATTTTTTTTTATTATATTTGTGATATCTTTTTTGATAACTAATATTTTTGATATTATATAATATAATTTGAATATTTTTTAAAAATCTCAAAAACTGTCCTGGTGTTATCTACAATATTTTTTAAGATTTTTACAATTATTGTAGGAATCTCAAAAAATATCCAGATGATATCAAAAGATAAAAAATAATATCCTGGAGATATCACTAGGTTATCACAAATAAATACAAATTTTAGCAAAGTGATTGATGCGAATTTTTAAGTCTTTTTAAAAAAAAAGAAATATGCTCGCATCTAAGACATCCAAGACATCCAAGGTTATTAAAAATATTTTTTTTTACTCATTATATCCACAGAATAAGTATTGATCTGTTGATAATTGTGTGAGAGATATATACTAAATAAATATATATTTATATAAAAATAATTGTCTAAAGAGAAATCTGAAATATTATTATGTCTTTTATCTAACCTAGCTACCTGATTACCATAATTACCATTGCATCTTTTAATAAATATTTTAAAATAAATCATTTGAAAAGTTGAATTTTCCTAGATCAGTAATATATTGCTTGTTTAGCTTCATTTCATTTCAGTTTCACCTATTTAAAAATTTTACATTCTTATTTTTATTTATGTTTTTAGAGCATCACTTATAGAGTGACATAAGAAATATCGATTTATCGGTACAAATAATCGAAGATGTGATTTTAAGTGAGATATGTGCGCTTCGACACAAAAAGAATACAAATTGAAGTAATTAAAGTTCAGACTCTATTGAAAAAATTCTATCAAAAAATAAAATTATATTTAATATCATCGTCCTGAATATTTTGAAATGTAATACTAGGAAATTTAATCCAAGAAAATCAATCATTCAATGTTAAAGTCTTCATGCTCATGATGTTTTACGACAAGAACCCTTGTTGTAGCAATTTCTAAAACTAGTTTTACTTACGGTAGGTGACCTTATTTTAGTAAGTATTATGGCAACACGAGAACTGGAACATGTAATATAAAATTCTATTGATTTCTTTTTAATAGTCATTCGCATTCTCGATATACAATTATCGTTCACAAAGATCATCACATATTTAATGGAGATGATAAAGAATGATTAGTATCACACGGAAGTACTCATTTTATTATTTTTTAAAATGGTTTAGGGAGAAAAAGAAGCCGAGGTATTGAATCTTTAAATGAATTTTTATTTATTTATTTATTTAATTTTACAAATAATTTTATATTTTAGAAAATTCAAATAGTAGGATAAGAATAAAATATAATTATTCTTTGGTTTCCTGAAGGTATATACAGTAGTAAATTTACTTTTTTGTCCGAAAAAGATATCGCCATAGTATGATTAATGCAAGGTAATTCTTTATATTTCTTTAACATAATAAACAGTTAATTTGTACTAATATGATTATTTTATTGTAAATAATAAAATGTCTTTTTGCAGCATTTTTTTTTTAATCGAAAATCATACCCTTGATGTAATTAAGGCTGAAGAACTTATACAGAAAGATATTACCATTCCGGTTAACTTAGATCAAAAGTATAGAAGCTAATCAAGAAATTTTATTATAACACACCAACAGTCTTAAAACATACAATATTCTATAATTCATTATACAATGAAGAAAGGAACTGATAACCAAATATAGAATAATTTCATCCTTTTAGAATAGAATGATTTAGATAAATCCTATACCTTATTAAGAGTCCTACATTCAATAAAGTCTTTTAAGACGAGATTGTCACTTTATGATCAACATTTTAATGAGGTTTTTATTTGTTTTTTTTTATTTAGTGGATCACGAGCAATCTATATTCACAATTTTTTTTTACTGATTGCTTTTGGGTTTGGGTCTACAAATATAGCTATCAAATGCCAAATTTGGAATTTTTTTGACTGGTAAATATTACTATAAATAATAATAAGATTAAAAACTATCTCCGAAGTCCGAGGAAATTACGACAATTTTATCGTTCCAATTGCTTAAATTGGAAGTTTATGATCGTCGGCGTTACACCTAGTTTTTCCAGTTGCTAAATGTTTTGAAACATGTGACTGATAAATATTTTAAAGTTTTTACACTAAAAAAATAATAATCGTAAAAATAAAAAGATTGAAATGAAAGATCCCAATAACTAATAAATCTCTAAAATAAAACTGCACATAAATACTATCTCCGAATTCCGAGGAAATTACCTTTTACATCATTGAAATTGCATAAAAAGACTTTACAATAGAATTAGATTTTTCAGTTATGAAAAATGATAACAAAAAACTAAAAGCAGAATTTTATTGTAATTTAAGTATATAAGCAACCGTTGCCGTCATTATGTATTAAAATTATCAAAATGTTTTTTTTAGACGTAATAAGAAAAAACCTCCCACTTATATGGATCCGACGTATTGTTATTGTTATATTATTAGGCCTTTTGATTACTTTCTTTGTACTATTGATTTTGAAAATAGTTAATGAAGAGCCTGGTATCAAAATATCTTACAATACAAGCATGAAAGAACAACCTATGCCAAGTAAATAATTCTTTGATTTTAAATACTGAAAACGGATGACTTTTTTTTTCTGATATCGAATTCATAATCAATATAGATATTTATTTTACTTGGGATAAAAATTTTAGTATAATTTGTGAATATTTTAAAAGTAAGGAGCTTTAATTATTTCATAAATTGATTTATTATCCTGTTTTATATAGCTATCTAATCCAAAATGGTTCAAAAACAAAATGTTTTAAAAGGCAATGATTGCTCTACTTATTTTGAAGCAAAATCCGAAGATAATTTTGAATCTTTAGGCTATAATCTTGCATATTTACCAAAGGGACAAATATCAATGAAAGCCAGTGAAAAAGAATATTTGATGCTTCTTATTAATATAACGGATGACACATATGATTTTTTTAATCAAAGTGGTATGAATATGCAAGCATTTGATTCAGGTATTTTTTTATGAAATTGTGACATTTTGTATCTTTGTATCTTTAATATTCTGTATCTTTAATGATAATAATTATGTGATAATAAATAAATAGATTATCCGTACCAAAATAAAAATAACCTTAAACTTATTGATTCAATTGAGGCGGAAAATAAATATTATTTAACACGATTCCAATCCTCAGCTATAAGTGTATGTATATTTAGTTAAATCATCATTCGAATGGAATACACGAGTATGCGTTATTAAAAAGGTGCTATTAAAAAATTCAATAGATATACGTTCTTAGGTACTACAGGAAAAGAAGAGAAGAATTGAGTAGCTCATTTCTTTCCCTACTCGGTTTCAAACCAAAATATGAAGCATATAATCACATTGGAATTGAATTGCGTATGATAATTTTATTATTATTTATTATTATTACGTATTTTTTTAGTACTAATGTTGCTTATGCCGCCGTAACTACAGAGACTATCGAACTTCCATACACAAATGGTACATTTGATAATATTTACGCGATAGTGTACATTATCCTAAAAACTCCTGGTATAGAAATAGAAAAAGAACAAAAGTAAAAAACATTTTCCAATTTGTTAATATCTTGTTATATATTGTTTTATATTTTATTAATAAATTTGGATTCATAACTTTATAAATAATGATAGATCGCGTACCGTAAGCATCATTATTTTAAATTGTTTTTTTGAAATTTATCATATATACAACTAGTGATTTTTATTTTTGGATAAATAGGCCATAGAAGTGTTAGCAAATATCGCCGCTCTTTACGGAGTAACTTTTAGTATTTATGCACTCTTATTTGGTAGGTTGATTTTTTTTTTTAAAAAAACAAATTAAATTATTGCATTGTATTTATAATTTATTTACTCATTTTTTAGGAGTAAAAACAAGCAAACCGCTTCTAGCAAAATTCATGCCTGCCGAGGATCCCTCCGATGATTCAAAAGTTTAGAAAAGTGTATCAGAAAAAATGGGTAAAACCGGAAGAAGCATCTAATTTGTATTTAAATGAATGATATATTTTTTATTATGAATTTATATTTTTAAATAAAATGATTATTATATTAAATATTTCAAACTTTAATATTTTCCTCATATATATCAACGTCTTTTTTTAATATCACATCATGTTAACTAGTTCTTTTCCATTGTTGATTTTTAATCATCAAAACCATCGTTTTCAATTTTGTTTTGTTTAATATCTTGAAATTTATCGTTCAGTATTTTGAATAATTTGAGTATCCATTTCCGAAATGCGTATATCCTTTGAATGATCTAACCTATAGTATTTAAGGTGCACCTGAATTTGAAATGAGATAAATTGCTTTGATATGAATGAGTGGATTCAAATATCATATTATTTTAATATATTTATTACTATTAAAACCTACGAAAATATAAAATTTTTAAACAATATTTAGAAATAATGAAAAATCTGATTATTTACACCTTCGAAACAACTTGATTATTTTAAATGACTAATGATTTGATTTGCATTCTGCTGCGTATTAGGAGCAATGTACATACCTACCTGTGAAAGATGGGAAAGCAAAAAATTTATAAATTTATTTATATAATTGTTAATAATAAAAATAATATAATAATACATTAATAATTGATCGATGGACGTCATTATACAGTACATTCAATGAATTTGCTCTTGTGAGTTACTAAAAGTTATAATTCTATAAACATTACTGTAGAGATTATGACCATTAAGAAATCCGATTGAATAAAAACATAAAATATATTTACACCATCCATAGTAAAGAAATGATCATTACTCTAATTCTTAAATTAATACAATGTCACAATTTATGCGAAGTTTTAAATCTTTTTTTCAAAAAGAAATATTCTCACATCCAAGTTATTAAAAATATTTTTTTACTCATTATCTCCACAGAATAAGTATAGATCTGTTGAGAGATTATATATTATACCAAACAAATGTCTATTTATGTAAAAATAGAGAAATTTAAAATATAATTATTCCTTTATCTAGCCTAGCTACATAATTACCATAATTACTATTGCATCTTGTAATAAATTATAAATGTTTTAAAATGAATCATTTAAAGAATTGAATTTTCCTAGATCAATAATATGTTGCTATTAGTTTAATTTCATTTCAGTTTCACCTATTTAAAAATTTTACATTGTTATTTTTTATTTATGTTTTTTAGAACATTACTTATAAAGTGACACGGTTTATCGGTACAAATGATCAATGATGAGATTTTCGTGAAATATGTGCACTTCAACCCAACCAAATGCAAATTAAAGTAATTAAAGTTCAGACTCTATTGACAAAATTCTATCAAAAAATAAAATTATATTAATACTCATCACTATCGAATTCATCCTGAATATTCTGAAATGTAATACTAGGAGATTTAATCCAAGAAAATTAATCATTCAATATTAAAATCTTCATGCTCATGGCGTTAAACAGTGAGGAAGCCTTGTTATAATTGTGCAGTAGCAATTTCTCAATGTAGAATTCCACAGAAACTAGTTTTACACTAGTTTTTCATATAATTTTACGGTTGATGAGCTTATTGATAGTAAGTATTATAACGACACGAGAATAGCAACAATGCAATATAAAATTTGGATGATTCTCAATATGCAATTATCGTTCACAAAGACCAAACCATATTTAAAATGATGAATGATCGATATCACATGAAAGCACTCATTTTTATTAAAATAGTTTAGGGAAAAAAGAAGCCGAAGCCGAGATATTGTATCTTTTAAATGAATTTAATTTATTTAATTTTATAGATTAAATTTAATAAATTTTAGTTAAAAATCCAAATAGTGGATTAATCAATGACAAGAATAAATATAATTGTTTTTTGTCTCTCAAAGATACACAATGTAATGGTGATGAGCATGAGAAATTTATTTTTGTGCCTGGCAAAAGATATCGTCTTCGTATAATTAATACTAGGTAATTCTTTATATTTCTTTAACATAATAAACGGTAAATTGTACTAATATTTGAATAATCAAAAGCACTCTTGTGGTATTCCATCGACAATTGATGTGATTGAGATTGAAGGAACTTATACAGAATACTGTTACTAATATTTCGGTTAATGTTGGTCAAAATTATTTAGTAATAGTGAAAGCTAATCAAGAAATTTCAAATCAGCTTTCTATCTTGGAATTTAATTATGACATAGCACCAATCTTAAAACATGCAAAAGTGCTATAATTCATTATACTATGAAAGAGCAGAAGAAAAAGAACCGATAACTAAATAATTCCATACTAATGATTTAGATCAATTAGTAAATATGCTCAATGTCCTAATTTAATAAAGTCGTTTAATTTTTATATTATGGTCAAGTGGTTGACATCGTTTTCGTTATGTATGCGTACTATTTTAAATCTTTGATATACACAATTTCTTTTATCCCCGTATTATCAATATTTAATTTATTCACAAATAAAGGCTAAATTTTTTTTAAACTAACGGAGCCTTACTAAAATGCTAAATAATAGGGACAATTAATAAATAAATAAATAAATTGTTTTTACCAAATATAGTATGAGTTACAAATTAAAGTGCTAATTGTGACACAACGAGTAAAAGATTCCCTGAATGTTAATAAATTCTCCAAATCAATCTTTGATAATTACTCTTATCGTATTCAATAGATATCTAAAATAGATACAACTATCTTAAAGTGGCTTCCAAAATAAACACACCACTTTTAACTTTAATTCTTAATAATGACATTATAAATTTATATTTATGATAAAATAGTAATGAATTTCATGTTCAGTTTAATAATATTATGTCATTGAAATTAATTAATTTGTAAAAAAGTAAATTTTTAACTTTTTATTTAGGATAGTAACAAATAAATATATTTCAGAATCTGATTCTGTATAAAAAAAATTAGTATATATTTAAAAAATCAAATAGATTGAATTACTAGTTATCAAGAAATTTAAGTTCAAAAATGATTTTTCATAGTGTATCCTAGAAATTATATGAATTTTGAACTTGAATTTCTCCATAACTAGTGATTCAATCTGTTTGATTTTTCAAATATATAGTAATTTTTTTATAT